TTGATCTAAATCTACCTCCAAGGCTTGAGTTATCCCGTTTATCGGAGCATTTGTGTACATCGAAACTTGCGGGCAAATCGCCACTTTAAATCAGCTCTTCATCTTTAACTTTACACCGTTTTAAGAATGCCTTATTGAAAACTTCACAGTTTTTGGGAGTTGTGTCGACTGAGTGCAAATAAATCACAATTTTTTATGCAGCCTTCTACCTTTTTTTATCTGCAACGGACTCGAGCCCGAACTCTGCCCGAGGCGGAAGCAGGCCTCTGGGTCACGTGATGCCGCGGACACCATTTGCCGACTGAGGCAGTCTCGAGTCCCAACGAGGACTGCGTCGAGGGTGATCTTGCGCAACTTTGGGCCCGAAAAGGTGAAAGCAAGCGTTTCTTTCGCGTCGAATGTATACAAAATGTTCCTTCCATCCAGACTCATCATCATGCCCAAAGGGAGTCGAGCCCTAATCCTCCCCAATGTCTTCTCAAAAAGTTAAATCTGTATCTCATCAATACACATTCTGTCTAGGCTTATATAATATGTATCAGCACACAGGCATACAGGCATACATATACATACATGTTTATACATATAAACACATACATGCATACATGTAAACATACACATACCCAGTCACAGACGCAGTCGAGTGTAGTCACACGTGTGTGCATTGAGGCGCACACCCGCATGCATACACGGGTATACAGATGGTCATAGAAATGGGCAATCGTAGATGAAAGACGGTAGCCACATTTACATAGGCATAGATATATACGGTTTATGTGTTTGTGTGTGTGTGTGTGTGTATGTGTGTGTGTGTGTGTGTTTACGAGAGAGTTAATTAAGTAAATGCCTGGCGGATTGAAACGGCTCAAAGTGATAAGAAGGATAAGGACAATAATCTAAATATTGCATAAAGGCAAGAATTAAGCTTATGTAGCCCGAGCGAAGCGTCTGTCTCGTCAGAAAGTGTGATGCACGTGGAGTTCGAGGTCGAGTGATGCGAGCATTCTCAAGTGAGGCCGATTCGTGTCTGTGTGCCTTCGCGACAAGGCTGCTCGGCCATTCGGTCTGGTACAGATTTCGCTGTCACCCACACCGGCCGCTGTGGGACTGGCTGAACCGGTTGTCAGCATGTTTTCCATACGACAGTAGGTGTCCTCGACGCAGACCCAACAGATCGGCAAAACCCATCCGAACCGAGTCGCTTGAGTCCGACTTCGAATCCGAGTCCGAGGCCGAGTGGTAGCGGTTTCCATGGCACCAGTTGCTATGGCGGAATTGTTCCGTTGTCACGTCTATATGCTCCGCAAAAGGCGCGAATGAGAATTGGCCACCGAGCCCTGATTGGCCAAGATGAAGGCCCACTTGGTTCTCGAACAACACATGTGCGCGGTTCGAGTCCCGCGGGGGTGCAAGCCCGTCGGCTGAATCGAATCGTCTCATGCGAAAGCGCCAAATGAATAGAGGCGAAGGGCAATCCGACAAAAAGAAGGCAGATGAGTGCCGTTGCTCTGTAGCCGTTTGGGTCTAATTTCACCTCCCGAGATGGACTTTTATGCTTCGGATATGAAGTAAAGGTGGTTTAATAAGCATCTTCTGATAAAAGTGGGTTGACCTCGTTGTCGCAACTTGGTCTTGTGCTCATGGAGACTATGTAGAACGCACCGAGTCCG